ATACACAAAATAATGTTCTTTTTAGCAGCATCATATGACCCCTTTAATTACATTGTGCCAGCTGTCTCTTTAATACCTCGTGGTTTACATACACGTTGCTGCTGATTGGGCTGACATGTTTGGCACACCCACCAAACAAGAGAAAACGCATCTCAAACCCCGTTGCACACCGTTGCACACCGTTTGCAGGAAACATGTCGTTCAAACCGGAAACCGTAGCAAAACGGTGCACACCGGTTTGAGCTTGAACTTGCCCCAGGTTATTTCTCTGTTGCGGGACACGTTTGTTAGAGATATATTTATATATTAGTTTATCATAGCATATTTGCCATCATGCTATGATAATTTTAAATCGCCAATAAGCTTTGTTAACTGTTACCGTTTCTGTGCCTGGCACTCAGTTTGCTCAGGTGCAATACGGGACCTATTCAGTCTAAGAATTAGCCTAAATAATATGTTAGTAGGTAAAAAAAACATTTTATTCTAAAATAACTTTCCTTAAGTAGCGAGTTTGTTTTCCTTTATTAAACTATGCAAACATGAAATGCGTTTTACCGGATTCAGTGCATCTTGAACTTGTAATTTTTTGTTGGATCTGGCAGTTTAATCAGGATGTTATCCAGTAGAAAAAGTCTGGTGTAGCTGTATTTAACGGCTTTTGATGAGGTCCACAGAGCCTACAAAACATCCAAATAATTCCTGAAAGCAGAATTACGAGTAACCTATCTACCTTATTTTGAGACTTAAATTAATTAGCCGCTATAGGCTAATGTAAACGATAAAACTATCTGCGCTACAAACCTGTGTTATTATTTACGACAATACATTAAAATAATATGATAAGAAATGCCAGTTTGCAATGCATAACTAGCTGTTTTGTAATTTGTACATCTGAAAATAACTTGAAGAGAATGATCGGAAGCCTCTCAATAAATGGCCGCGCCAAACTTAACAGTTTTATTCCTATCTATATTCTAAAGGTTTTTACAGAAGGGTTTGTTCATATAGGCTAAAATGCCTGATTTTATACAACATTTTATTCCTTAATAAATAAATACAATTAAAAGGAAAGGAAATGAAAGATTGTTTTCTGGCTATCGACAGTAGGACTATTTTCTTATTGATGGCGTGATAAATAGAGAAATCCAAAATACCTCCTATGTCAACAAAATGAGACGAGTTTTTTAAACTGACTTCATGTTCAGATTTTTGTTTTAGAAATCTATGCAAATTAGTCCATATTTAATTAACGCATCATTTGCATATTTAAACCACTCTAAAAATGCTGGGTTGTTTCAACCCAACTTTGGGTCAAATATGGACTAACCCAGCTGTTGGGTTAAATTTTTACATTACATTTTTAACCCAAAAGTTGGGTTAGTCCATATTTGACCCA